TGGCTTAGATAACATTGCTGTGATGTCAAATTTCTGGACATGCAGCGAAAGGTTCTTAAATTAGAAAAGCGTGTGCTGGCAATTCCTTCTTCCAAAGTATTTTCACATGTTTACTGACTCTCTGAGAGCTGTGGCTCTGTGGCTCTGAGCTCTGGCTCTGGCTCTGGGTCGTCGTGTCGAGTAGTTTTTTGTCTATTAAAATGCTATTCCGACTGGAGTAGTTTAGTTGAACAAGGGGCAGAGGCAGCAGAGGCAGCAGCAGCAGCAGCCGCCGAGTCGTAGTCATCATCATTTCGAGTGCTGAAAAGCATTTTTATGTTCTCGTGGCGTCAAGTGCCGCAGCGAGCAAGGAGCAAAAAAAAAAAAACAGCAACAAAAATGCAGAAGAAAAAAAAAACGAAGCTGCAAAAGTTGTGCGCGGGCCAAGAGGGCCAAGCGGGCCAAAGCCCAAAAACAAGAACAATGTTGATGATAATACTAACAACAACAGTCAGCCACTAACAGCAACTGCCTGCCACAGAAACAAAAGCAGAGATAACGAAGCACTTGATACCCTGGAAGTTTAATTACTAATGAATTGGAAAGATAAAGGGTTAAACGAATGAATATACTTTCTTCTCTGGTATACAAACATCTGCTTTAAATAAGTATTCTCTCTCTTCCAAAAGGGTATAACAACCACTGTGGCTGCAACTGCGCGGCGTGCAAATAATGCAATTTGTGCAATGCGCCATCACAAACGTGGGAGTCAAAAGCTGTAGAGTCTGAGGCAGTGGCAGAGGCAGAGTCTGAGTCTGAGTCGTAGCTAGAGCGCGGCTGCCTCATTTTAGTAGCTTCCCCACTGAGCAGCCGGGTCTTAACTACTGTCAGTCATACTCCTGGAGTTGGGTCTCTGCAGTGAGTGGCTGTGTGGCCGGAGCCGATGGCATTCTTGGGGGCTGCCTCCAAACAAATAAGTGCATTTAGTGTTTAACAAATGTTCGCTTTTGCGCTGATGGCGATGTTGATAAGAGCGGGCAGAAATGAATTAACAGTCATAAGCATGGGCCCGCTGATGACAACCACGATTCGGAGCCCCCAAGATGACAATTGATAGTAAGTATTTACCCCCCGTCTACGCCGAACAAGATATGATGATGATCGTTGTTAATGAGCCCGAATGTTTGAGAATGAACAAATAATTGAATTGAATGTCTGGCAAATGGAATGGAAATGAATTGCAATCTATGGCCAGGTCTACGAGCTGATTCTGGTCTTAAAGCGCATGGCAACGGCGGGCCATAAAGACGGAACACATTGCTGAAGCACCACCGCCGCCTACGCCGGTGAGTGAGGAAAATTTCACCTCGACTAATGCAAACACACTTGAAAACCTGCAGGGGCAGCCGTGGACTTGGATGTGGAGCAAGAGAGATCCGCTTGCAAACTGAGAGGCTGGAGGCAGACAAATGAGCGGCGGCAGGACAGCAGTCGACCCAGTACCCAGTACCAGGCGGGTGTCTCCTTGGTGGGTTTCATTTAAATTAAATTAGAGCTGCTAGCTCTCTAACTGTAACAATGAGTGATGCACGCACTAAAAGCTGACAGGCCAACGGGCCAACAGCAAATGGCAAACTCATCAAATGGCAATGCCTGCCCATAAATCAGCTGTTTGGTTGCTGGGAAGCGACCAAGCAAGATGTTGGCGACGTCCCTGTTCCCGGCAAATGGTAATTAGCAGACGAACCTGCTGCAATCAATACAAATTGAAATGGAGACGGAGACGGAGATGGACACAGACATGTAGGATTGAGATGGAACCAAACGAACCTAGACTGCGATGGCGATGGCGATGGCGATGGCGATACTGATGGCAGTGCACATAAAGAATGGACCGGAGCGGAGGCAGAACCAAACTCGACCGAAATGAGCCGCCCACGCGAAATAGATATTGGTTTTATGGCCTGTCGCAGGTGTCAAGTAATTCGTCATGGCATGTGGCAGGTCGCCACAGTCCGGCTACAGATCCGTTTGCATGCAAATTAGAACAAGTTGGAAAAACACACGACTCTCCAGCTAAAGCTGAGGCTAAAAACTGTGGCTGAGGCTGCGGCTGAGACGGACTCTGACAGTGCTGACAAACGGATTTGGCATGCACCTGCTGGTACGGCGGGGCTGGGGCTGCTGCTGGGGCTTACTCTGGGCTCAGGCTGGTGCTGGCGCTGATGCTGTCGCTGGTGCTGGTGCTGGTGCTGGTCCGGTCTAGATGTGACCCCTTTGGCCGTGGCTTTCACATTGCAGGCCACTTTCAAGTTCAAAGACAAATGGCTAAGCATTCGATTCGATTTACTTTTAATTTATAATTTGCCAAACCTTTTGAACCCCACTTCAAAATGGAAGCACCAGCCAGCCACTGAAACGAAGAGAGAAATGAAATTGTCGATGGCCGTCGCCCTGGCAATTTGTGGATGCAATTTCATTTTGTATTCAGTTCCGCATCATTGCGGTGCACCGAGAGAAGTTTACCCACACTTGTGCCTGCTTTGTCGGTTTCCCTCCCGACTGCAGACTCTTTGTCTCAGTGCAGTTCCGAACAGTGAGCAATAAAAGTAAAATAGTGCAAATAAAATCAGGTCAAACGGCGCTCACTGGACATTGGCCATTGGCCACGGGCTCCATTGTAACCGGAGAACTTTTGCGGCCATTTGAGAGGTGCACTTCCCAGGCCATCGGGCACTCCTTTCTTTCGGGACTCGACGCTGACCCTGGGCAGCATTTAAATCGCAGCTTAATTGACTTTTGTCCCAGAGACACACAGCTGCGTATCCCCACAGGCAATCCAAATGCGAATCCGAGACGGGACCCGGACTGGTTGTGGATGGAGACGGGCAGACTGGGATGGAGACGGACACGGAGTCAACTGTGGCGTTGTCAAGGCAACGTGGACAAGACATCAATCATCACTAAATTAAAAATGTGAAACGTTTAAAATGCCATCGAGGAGGGTGAGCAGGCGATAGAGCCAGTGCCAGTGCCAGTGCCAGAGCCAGTACAAGCGAGCGAGAGAGGTGAATGTGGCAGGATCGATGCCTCATAAATAATGCAACAGCAACAGCAACAGGCCGCAGCAACAGCAAATGTCACATTAAACAGGCAATATTAAAGCTGAAAAGCAGATGACACCGAAATCATGTTAGGCGGCACTTGAATGAGTATCAAACGGCAGCTGCCATAAACACACAAACCCACTGTCCAACCGTCTGACGGGGATCTGCTGTGCTCTCAGGAAAAGGAGGAGCCAGCACTTGGCCCAGCTCCAGCTCCAGGGAGGACAAGTCTCGGTAGCAGTTGCCGACAGTCGTTTTACACTTGTCGCCGGCAGTGACCAAAGTTGGCAATTGCCGCGCCACTTTTATGTGGCCTCCGCCTTGGGGACCGACCCGACCGCGGAGGCATCAAATGCCGGGATAGGTGCAAACGCCGCACGTCAATTGCTGCATTAGGCGATTCCGATTCCGATACCAATTCCGATTCCGTTGGAGTCCAGTGGCGTTGCCATTGCCAGTGCCGTTGCCGTTGCCACTGCCGTTGGTGAGGTCGGGAGAAGAGGCCCAAACATGTTGTCATTGTCGCGTTATTTATGACAGTGTTCGAGATGTTTCTGTTACCCTTTTGCAGCTCCTGCAAAGGAACTCCGGCAACACTTGTTTATGTTAATGCAGCTTCTATGGCTGCCACCGTCCGGCTCCTCCTCCTCCTCGCCTGACAGCGGCTCTCCATTCAAGTGTCCGTCAATGGGCCTCGTTAATAGAGTTCGAGGCGGCGAGTTCGTGTTCGTGTTGGTGTCCGAGTCTGTGCATCGTGTCCGTGTCTCGGGAGCTGGCCAAAAGTGGCGGGCGTGTGACAATTAAATTGTCAAAACCGCAACCTTTCGACGTGTGGCATGTGTTGGCCTGTCAGCTTCTGAAGCCTGTGGCTTCTCTTGTATATGCTGCTCTCTGGCACCTTTCCAAATATTTCAATTATGATTTTTATCCAGCGGAGAACTCTTTTAATTTTAGTATTTTTCACACAAGCCTTGCTCTGTCCAGGTTGGTTTTTTGTGCCTTTTGGCCTGCTGATAAATGAGCTTTGATAGTGTCGTAATGCCAGGGCGTTGCCAGCCAGGAAATGTGTGCACTTTTGTGGCTTAATGAAATACTTACATATAATTTTATTCAATTTCTTATCAGTTCGAACCTGGCCCTAAGCAATTTGTTGGCCATAAGAGCGGATTCGTGGCTCTCTTAGCTGGCGCTCTCTTAGCTTAATGCCTGGCCTGCGTTGACGCTAACAGCGCTGCTTGCGTCGTTCCAGACGCTTGGCTTCAACCTATTTTTTATTGGTCAAAAGCTGATCGGCAACTGATATTGCAGCCAACTGGAAATTAACCGCTACGCCAACCTCTCTCACTCTCTCTACATTTCTGCACTGGAAGGCCAAAAGCGAAGAGAGAGAGAGAGAGCGTCAGAGCAGGCAGCGCGTCAGAGAGCGTCGATCCGCGATAAACACGAAGCAACGAACGACGCTGGCAGCGACGACGAGCAACAGGTTTTCTCAGTGCTCTTAGCGGCGTTTTTTTTCAGCCGTTCCGTTGCTCCAGGTTCGTGTGCGATCGCTCGGCTCGAGCTCCAAACCGCAGCCTGCTCTACTCCTCTGATTCCCTCCCCTGCTCCCTGCTCCCTGCTCCATGCCTTGCGGACTGGACTGTATTACTCGGTCAGTCGGTCTCCGAGAGGTTGTTGCTATTTCGTGTTGCCTGAGTTTTTTGCTCAGAGATTTTTTGCTGTTTTGCAACTGTTGCTCCTCTGCTGCTGCTGCTGCTGCTGCTGATGCACCGGCAAATGCATTGCTGTCTCTGCTTCGGCTGCTGCCTGCTGCCTGCTGCCAGCGTCGCCTGCACTCGACTGCGGCTGGAACAGCTTGGGAGCCGCTTGCAATTTTTATCCTCTTGCAGTTTCTGTGCGACTTTCTTGCGGGACTGTTTGAGCTTGTTGCAATTGCGCGCGTTTTTTGCAGTGGGACAGGAAAGCTTTTTCCACGCGAGAAGTTCGCGAATTTCTGTGACTGAATCGCGTGCGCGTTTACGAAGTCGCGTGCGAGCGTTTCCACTGCGTTTTTTTCGTACGATTTTTTGGGCAACGAACTGCCATCGAAATAGAAATGGAAATTGAAATGAAAATGGGACACAAAATGGAAATGGACATTGAGAGGCAAATGAAAATGAAAATGATAATCCCGCCTGCATCTGGCGCTCAAACCTAATCTCTTACTGTGCGGCTACCTTACAAATAGTGCTCGTAAAAAGTCTGGCAACAGTAAAAGCAATTCAGTGTGGCCATAAAACCAAATCAAGGTAGTTATAGTAGTAGTAGAATACGCTCAACCGTATATGCGGAATATATACAAATAGTGTACAATGCCTATAGCACTATGCCGCGATAAGATCGGGCTGAACATATGTCTGTGCATACGTATGCGTATAAAGTAATATCCACAAAAGAGAGACAAACTCGTTTCGAGCATATAAAGAAATAAATAAAAAATCAAATTAAATTAAACTCACTTTTAATTACTGGCTGCCCAAAAGATCACATAAAGAGCGTGCAATAAAAAATATTGGTATCACTAAATTAATTATATTGTATATAGAGAAACATGTTGCAATAAAGCGATCTTAACGATTCACAAATAAAGAAACAGAGGCTCTAATTCAGCTCCGCACAGTTCGATCCCGCTTCGGCTACCAATTCCCGCTAACGCCTCGCCGCTTCCAATCGTTCAGTGTTCGCGTGGAGCTGAAACAAAAGACTTGGGCAACGAACTTGCTGCCATTTGGTGGTGTCGTTTGTCGTTTTTTTATATTTTGTCGAGCTGCACACAACAAAACACATAAACACAAACACACACCCCATCGAACATACACACATACACCAGATAACGGCGCTTCGGGCGCCTCCGAATCACCGAGTGATAGCAGCGGCAGCAGCAGGCCCCACCAGATCCCAACGAACTAATTGACAACTCAAATCCTGCCAAACAACGAAACGGCAGAAAAAACAATTGTTAAACAACGTTTCGCCTGCCAGTCGGATTGTCGGATTGTCGGCCTACCCCACTGGGGGGACACTTCACATTCGACTTCAGCTTCAGCTTCAGCTCCATCTCCAGCGTCAGCTACGGCTCCAGCTTCAACTTCAGTTTCAACTTCAATCAAATCGCTGCCCCAACGACAATTGCAAAGTGTGCCTCTTAATGCATTTTACCCGCAACCACAAACACACATTCAAACAAACAAACAAACAAACAACAAAACAAAAAAAGAAGTTGAAATAAATTTACATAAATATTTCACTTGCCAGTTTTTGCCAGTCCACGTCCACATCCGCGTTTCAAGAGATTGAGCCTGGATAGGCAACAGTGTGTGTGTGTGCGTGTGAATCTGTGTATGTGTGTGAGTGGAGTGTCCCGTTCGCATCTGTATCTGGATTCGATCCGTGCCTTAAACCATTCATCGCTCAACCATCGCATCGCAGCGCAGCAGAGATTCGGCCCAGCATCAAGAGATCTTCCAAGTCTGCCCCGCCCCAAGGTGAGTCGAACAACAAAACACTTTGCCTCAGTTTATGCGTTTGTAATTGCACTTTATGTGCCACTGCCAGTGCCACTGCCGCCCATCCGCGTATTGTGTTGCCTGGCTCCTGGTGCTGTGCCGATGCCACTGTCAGAGTTGCTTTAAGTCCGAGTTAAAGTTGAGGAAACTTATCAATTAGTAGAGGCAGCGATTTCAAATACAATTAACTGACAAGACAAGCGGATGGCAGACGGCAGACGGCAGACGTTTGTTCGGCCATAAAACCGTTAGTAAAGGCATTTTTAACAACAATTAATTGCTATGATTTGAGACTAAGACTAAGACTGAGACTAAGCCACACTCGTGCAGGGTGAGACATACCTGTACCTGGCACTTGGCTTTAAACATAATTTATCTCTGGCACCAGCATCAGCTCCAGCCACTTCCTTGCTCTCAGTTACATCCCACAGAGCTGTAATAATCAGAGTGAGCCATAATTACAAGTTCAGTTGAGCAATTTAAATGAAAACACTTCAACACGTTAACAATTGGCGCGTCTACAGTGTCAGTTGTCGTCGTTGTCAGTGGGATTGCTCTTGTGATGCAATTGATTGGAAAAGCGACTTTTTCCTCTAGCCTCAATTAAGAGGAAACTCAGCTGGAAACAAACTGAGTTTTTCTCCGTTTCTGTTTCATTTGATACAAATTATTTAAATTGAATGAGTAACCAGGGAACTTGATCTACCCGATAATGTTGGGAATATAACAAAGAAGTTCTGTACACAAATACATGAATATATTTCCATATCTTACTATAGAAAATATTCTTCTGCGTATTTCCTCTTTAGGAATACCTCCCCGATACATTAATTCCAATTTCTAGAATATCTATAGAGTATTCCAATGCTGTCTTCACATTCTGTAATTGTTTATTAAAAACTCACATTAAAACAAAAGCGAAGGAGAATAAAAAGTATTAATCAGCTTTGAGGAAATTGCCAGCGATAATGTTTATAAATAAATATGCAAAGAATTATTTAATTCTCACAATTGCGAAACGCAAGTCACGAGATCCCCGCAGCCAGCAGGGCGTGTGCTTCCAAGGGGCTGTGGCTGGGGCTGAGGGAACTGCGAGAACATAAAGCGAATTAAATGAAATTTAAGGACAGCAATGATGACGACAAAAGCATCAGCAGCACCAGCAAGAACAAACAATCACAGATGCAACTGCACAACAGCATCAGATACAGAAGGAGCAACAACAATTGTTTAATTGCCGAGAGCTCTGACAAAGAAATCGCCAAGTGACTGAGACAAAACGCGACAAATTAGTGCAAGAAATGCTGGCCAGAAGCTCAGACTCAGACTGAGAGTCAATGCAATTCTTGGTAGTAGTCTTCCTCCCCTAGTCTTTGAGTCTTCCAGTCATCGAGTAGCCGTCCCCCAGTTGTTAATTGTGGACTCGGATGAGTCAACAAGAAATGTTCTTAATAGCTGTTGTTACCGTTGCAACTTTTTTCCTCCTTTTTTTAATTAATACTTTTTTTCCGCTGCTTTTGCTATAATTTATGAACGACTTTTTTGTGAGCTGGCGGCTGCTGCTGCTGCAATTAATGTGACTGATTCGAAGCCGCGCGGCTCGGCTCGGCGCTGCACTGCGGTAGCGCGTTGCATTTGATTTGCTTTGCTTTTCTTTGCTTTGCTTTGCTTTGCCAGTAATTGTGCTCATTATGCCTGCGCTATTGTTGCTGCTGGTAAAGTTTTTTGCCCGATGTACGCGTCATTACACATGTTGTCTAGACTAAATGTCTGACTGTCTGACTGTCTGTCTGTGTGTGTGTCAGTCAGTCGGTGGGTCTGTCAATCGGTTAGTCAGTGAAGCCGTCAATCTAGTTGGCTGCCGTTTAGCAGCCATTTGATTTCCAGCTAACACTTGCTGCCGCTACTGCTGTTGCTGCCCTTTGTTAGCCCCCTTTTGATTGCAAATCAATGACGCACTTGGCTGACATTTGATTGGCTTGCCTCTGGGTGATGTCACCGCTGACGCGGCCTGTCGCCAAATGTCACGCATCCAATTGACTGGCAATTATTCTACATAGAAGTAGGAGTAGGAGGGAGGATCATAGTGTCGATCAGAGTTCGTTGCCCAAGTCTTTTGTTTCGCCACTCCCTCGCATATTTGGCTTACACTGCCATCGATTACCGCAACCCAAAAACCAAAAACCAACTATAATGAGGCAAGCGCAAATATTTCGCCTATTACTCAATCCGACCAACAGGCAGGCAGGCACCCAAGCCAAGCCAAGCCAAGCCAAGAAGACAGCACAGCCACAAAAGCACCAACAATGGTCGAAAATCAATGACTAGAAGACGTTAGGAGGCGCCAACTTATGTATGCATACATTTTGAAGTTTTCTTCAGTCCCAGTCCTCAGTCGGCAGTCCGCAGTCCACAGTCCTCCCCTCAGTCTTTTAGCCACAAATTTGAAGAGTTTTCACTAATTTTGAGCCGCTGCCGAAACAAAACACGCGAATCGAACAACAGCCACAATGATAGACAGTGCTGCATAAATAAAAGTAAATTTAATGACAAGCAAAATATTTCTTGTCATGCCTATCAGATTACAAGATTTCTATATGGACTCGCTGACGATTCACCATACCACACTCGCATGCTTGCATACACGGAAAATATTTGTATGTGTCGTTAAAACATGATTACTGGCGCTCGAAGAGAGACGGAACGACACAGTCACATATAGCCCAGTACATGACAAAGCCGTTAGTGTCATTTGAATGCGAATGTTGCAAATGTTACGAGTGCGATGCGATGTGATGTGATGATGCTATCAAGGAAGGTGTCCCGGGTCCAGGGTCCCCGCTACCCAGTCTTTGATACAGCCGCTGCTTGAGCAGCTGCACAGACAAGTTTCGTTGCATTTACTCCCAAGATGCTGAGAGTAGGAAATACTTACTGCGGCACTCGCTGTGATAGGAAATACATCAACTGATCAATGGTATAAGTTGACCCACTTTGTGCTAGGTCAACCTTCAAATGATCTCCCAAACAGTAGTACTAGTACAGAAACCCCGCTTCCATCTGGCATTCCCATCTATTCCGAGTTAATTGTCTTTAAACGCACTGAGACTGAGACTGAGACCTCCGCAGAGTGGGAAAACTTTTTGCCCATTACAAGCCCAATCGCCAAACGAAAATCAATTTCACACATTACAACGGAATCGAAACAAAATGAAATGAAATAAAATAAAGGCCATGAAAACTCGCTCTTTGGTGGGGGTCCCAGAAAGATAGACACAAAAGACAGAAACAAAGACGCATGAAATTGCTAATTGTGCGAATGAAGGGCCCAGCCCAAGCCCAAGCCCAAGCCCAAGCCCAATCCCCAGCCTAGCCCAGGCCTATGGCTGTGTATATGGAGATGAATAGATGGATATAGTGCGGTTATGCTCCGATATAGGCAGAATAACGCCGTGGGCTGCCTCAATTAAATTCGTAGCGAATTCCCAAGCAACAAAGAAAATTTAATTACACCACATGTGGCACAGGCCCCAGCCCTTTGAAATCGCTTTTGGGCCTGTAATCAAGTGAGAAATTTCCAATGGGCCTAATGAATTTTTTGCGGCAACTTGGCGGCCGCCGCTCTTTTAATCGACCAGAAAACTGGGCGTTATCGTTTTTATGGAAAAGTCCAACTAAAATCGAATTTGAATCAATATTAATCGTTAATGATGTGTTGCTGGTCCCTGCCGGCAAATGATCTTGATGTATATGTTTGTTGATGATGCCATACATTGGAAAGGAGGTCGGTCAGACCAGAAAAATATTGTATGCGATCACCAAATAGGTTTTGGCACATTGTTTGTCACCCAAACAGCAAACAATGGGGAAAAGCTGACAGCGCTAATTAATTGCAATTAAAAATGCGTTTGCTGTCATCAACGGCGACTTCCCCTAATTGGCAGCTGCGAACCCATCCAACATCCACCGATCGAAGAGTCTCCACCTGTAAGGTTCCTCTTCTGTGGCTTCTGGGGCTTCTTCTTTATCAGCGCAAAGCCATCGAGCAGGCAGCGGCAGCAACATTCTATGTTTATTTAAATGGATAATTTGCTTAATTAATTTTCAAACTGAAACGCTTCGCATTCATCATTTTAATTAGCCGCAGGTTCGCTTTCGAAGCTTGGAGGCTGGCTCTTAATTTATAAATTATTTATAAATATTTATTTGACAAATATCTGTTGTTCGTCGTTGAGCTATTAATTAAGAAACGCAGTCGATCTCCGATATACATACACGGTATGCATAGGTGTATCCAATATCCGAAGCCTGAAATATCGGCGCGTGAGGAAGCGCAAAACTCATTAATCTTTCGGCCTGTCTTCGCAAACAAAAAATGCACAACTGGCGACAGCCATTAATTCCTCTTTAATAGGATTGCAACTGAGATTAGGAATGCAAACAAGTCCACAATATCTCAAAACAAATATTGTTTTGTTTCCATTTCATTGAATGTGACAAGTACCACATCCCCCCGAAACAAAGGCCATAAGATCAAATTGAAATTAGTTTTCTTTATGTTTACGCTGGCTGTGATTTTGTGTTCGCTTTCCTGCATCCAAATCGGCGATTTGCATATTTCTCGTAGGTGGTTCAATGAACTTGCTGAACGGAGAGCTGAGAGCTGAGAGCTGAGAGGAGAGTGGTTTCTGGCTGGTGGGGGCGTCGTTAGATGAGGCGGCGGCGGTAGTGGTTGTGGAGCTGGTGGAGACGGCGACACTTCCAGCGCTTTCGGCTTGAGTCGGCTCGCCTACGCGTTATTTTGAGAAATTTGCAAACATTTGCATGAAATCAAAAACGAAACCAAAACAAAGCTAGATAGATATAAATTCAGTTTATGAAACCAATCAACCTAAGAATACCCTCAAAAATATTCAGGAGAATTCAATTTCACATTTTTGATGGATGTTTGTGGAGTCTGCCAAATGAATATTCCCAAT